AGGTGTGAGTCACTGCGCCTGGCCTCAACTTACTTAAAATATTTAAAACTATTAGTTTTCTTAAAATTTTCGTAAAAATAAATACAAGACATTAAAAGATTACTTCTGTATCAGGGCCATGCCCCTGATGTAAGTAAGCTACTTTGCTGCTGTGATATTATTATCATTGTGGATGAATAAAGCTATCACAGTGGTTCTGAAGTAAAAGACTGGAATTCATTCACTGATAAAGTCAGGTTAACAATTTTAGAGAAAAATTCATAATCATTTTCTCAAATATAACTAATTTTAAAAATATAAAATGAAGCTTCTCAGATATAACAACAGTTTCTTTATGATTTTTAAAAATGGTTAATTTAAACAATAAACAATAATGTACTACATAAAAGTAATTTGACCACAGATTCTTATGGAATGTCAAAATGAAAAAAAAAACCCACAATAACATACTACAAAAATTTTTTTTCAAACAAGCACTAAGGTAAAAGTACCTATTATGTATCCATGAGGTATCTACTGGTCATAATTTTCTGATCTGCAGAACTCCACAAAAGCATATTTTAGGTATTTTATTGATTTAGAAAGTACAGACTGACTTTTGTTAAAAACAAAAATCTCTCACACTGTTCTGGCTTTTACACTTTTACATGAAGACTATGCTTATATGGCAATCAGAAAGAAAAGCTGATGTAAATTCAGTATTACAATAAAGGTTAGAGGGATTGTATCTGAAAAGTATATATTTTAGGCATCAATATATATAATGAAGCTTAAGGAGTCTGGGAAAGATTTAGGAAATACTTAGGCAATGAGAAATTTTAACTTGTGAGGTTTTAAAAAATTATTAACCATTAGTTTAAAAAAATCCCACAGAAATAAAATCAGATATTATTATTTAATTGCTTATTAAGGTTATTTATAATCAATGTTATATTTGGCACTGGAAACATGAAAAAACCACCCTATAATAAAAATATATTTCTTACATTTATAGGATAATCACGAATTAGAACTTAATGCTTCCACTCACTTATACATCCTAATATATAGGCAGAGACTTGAGATATGAACTTTTTTCTTTTTTTGAGACTGAGTCTTGCTCTGTCGCCAGGCTGGAACGCAGTGGCGCAATCTCGGCTCACTGCAACCTCCGCCTCCTGGGTTCAAGCGATTCTTCCGCTTCAGCCTCCCGAGTAGCTGGGACTACAAGCGCACGCCACCAAACCTGGCTAATTTTTGTATTTTTAGTAGAGTCAGGGTTTCACCCTGTTGGCCAGGATGGTCTCAATCTCTTGACTACATGAGCTGCCTGCCTAGGCCTCCCAAAGTGCTTGGATTACAGGCATGAGCTACCGCACCTGGCCAGATGTGAACTTTTTAATGCAAATGTTGATTATTCTATAGATTTGAACTTTTTACACTGGCTAAAAGTCAGAACATGCTAGATTGAAACTTAAAAAATAAAAATCAATGCTTTAGTACAGAAAAAGGAAATTATCAATGGGGTCACAGTTTTCTAGTGCTCCATATAATATTATTAAATGACTACAGAATCTATCATGTCAAGTTTTATTCTTGAAACTTACATTCATACTTAATACTTCTAATAGTCTCAATGGTCTCAGTAACTATTATCTAGATCATTGATTCAATAAATATTTATTAAGAACTTACTATTATGTGTTTATGATATATTTTTAAACATTTTCCAGCTATACCTTTTGCTATTTTGTAGACAAATATAAAAAATTATGTTAATTTAGGAGGCAGGCCAGGTGTGGTGGTTCATGCTGGTAATCCCAGCACTTTGAAAGGCAGAGGTGGGTGGATCACCTGAAGTCAGGGGTTTGAGACCAGTCTAGCCAACATGGCGAAACGCTGTCTTTACTAAAAATACAAAAATTAGCTGGGCATGGTGGAACATGTCTGTAATCCCAGCTACTTGGGAGGCTGAGGCAGGAGAGTTGCTTGTACCCAGGAGGCAGAGGTTGCAGTGAGCCAAGATTGCGCCACTGCACTCCAGCCTCTGTGACAGAGAGAAACTTGTCTAAAAAAAAAAAAACCCAGCAAAACCCTGTCTCTACAAAAAAAAAATTAAAAACAAAATTAGCTGGGTGTAATGGTACATGCTTGTAGTCCTAGCTACCTACTCAAGAGGCAGAGGCAGTAGGATTGCTTGAGTCCAGGGGTTCAGGATTACAGTGAGCTATGATCACACCACTGCACTCCAGCCTAGGTGACAGAGTGAGATCCTATCTCTAAATAAATGAATAAACAAAAATTTAAGAAGTGAAAAGCTTTCCTTTTGCCCTATTTTTTGAGCCTCAACTAAAAGGTAATTATATCCACAAAGACAAAGTATTTGCTTTAGGTGGGTTATCGATAACATACTGAATTCCACAAAGGAGATCTAGACACCTACAAACTTTAGAGTTGTGTTTAGGTGAATACAAAAATGAACATGCTTGGTCCTTTTTTTGTTTTCCTTTAGTGCACTTTCTTACTATCTCATTTGTTAATGCTGCTGATTCCTTTATTAAAAAAATTTTTTTTAGAGATGGGCTCCCACTATGTGGTCCAGACTGGTCTCGAACTCCTGGGCTCAAGTGATTCTCCTACCTCAGCCTCCCAAAGTGCTGGGATTACATGCGTGAGCCACCACGCCCAGCCAATGCTGCTAATTTCAAAATTACTTGTAAATCCAAACACACAGAAATATTTCATCAAGTTAATAATTTCTTTGTTCTCTGAAGATAACATACACTCTCAGCTGATTGATTTAACGAGAGCTCTTCCAGCTTACAATTCACACTAAGTTTATTCCCTGGCAGCATTCAGTGTAAAAGCTGTGACCTACAGAGGCTAACAGAATTACAGTGTTTAGGTATAAAAATACTAGCTGCCAGACTCTGTTCTTTATGGCTTCCTATCATGACTATGACTTATGAAAAGTACTAATTAGCAGTACCAAGTTCTCAGTTCTTCATCATTCATTCATTCATTCATTCATTCAATACCTATTAGCTGCCCACAATTTATCAGGAATTGGGCTAAGTGCTAGAGGTAAAATAGTGAGTTCATAGGTCCAGTACCCATCTCTCCTCTAAGGAGGACAAACAATAACAAAAATAAAATGAAAAAAGACAAAATATAAAACTGCAGTTGTGATATGTGCCACAAAAACAGGTATGTGTTACTTTGAGAATGAAAAATGGTGGATGTGACTTAAGGAGGTCAGGAAAGTCTTCCCTGAAGAAATGAGGTTTAGGCTGAGAGCTAAAGGATGAACAGGAGTTAAGAAGGTAAAAACAGAAGGGAGAAATATTTGAGAGAGAACAGTTTACTCAAGATTCCAGGAAGGATGATCAGAAGAAAGGAATTAGAGCTATAGCAATGAGAATGAGAGAGAAGACAGTTCAGGTTGAGATAGGGACCATGAAGGACCTTGTAGGCTGGCTACAGTAAGGATTTTGATCTTGGCCTAAGAACAAGGGAGAGCCCCTGAAGGCTTTATAGGGAAAGGGGATGTGTTTAGATTTACATTTTTGTATTTTCAAGCTCATTGAGGTATGTACAACAGACTGAAGAGAGACCAAAGTAGGCAATCACAGTTGTCTAAATAAGAGATAACAGTCTTCTTGGTTATAATGGTATGGTACAAGTAACAAGAGGAAAAAAATCTGTTAGCAGAGAGTAAGAAGCAACATACATAAATATTACTTTGGCCAACACAAAAATCAATTTTTAGGGTACTACCAATGTGACCACTATAGATAAAAGGTTAAAGATGGCCGGGTGCAGTGGCTCATGCCTGTAATCCTAGCACTTTGGGAGTCTGAGGCAGGCGGAGCACAAGGTTAGGAGTTCGAGACCAGCCTGACCAACATAGTGAAATCCTGTCTCTACTAAAAATACAAAAATTACCTGGGTGTGGTGACGTGCGCCTGTAATCCTAGCTACTCAGGAGGCTGAGGCAGGAGAATCACTTGAACCTGGGAGGCGGAGGTTGCAGTGAGCCAAGATCGCGTCACTGCACTCCAGCCTGTGTGATAGAGCGAGAGTCCATATGAAAAAAAAAAGTTAAAGCTTTTTCTAAGTTTTATAGTATAGTGTCAGTTAATTCCCTTTTAATCTGTTTTTTAGTGCTTTATGGGTATACATAGGCCTGTACTATTCACATTTACATACAGGCACTACAGAGTTAATAATTACGTTTATCAATGCCACTCTGGTACCTGCATCATTTCTTTAGTCTATCATTAGCAACAAATAATATATATTTAGTGCCCACTGTAAATGGGATTCTGCCAGCCCTTAGAGATGTAAAGAAATATTAATAGTCCTCACCTTGAAAAAAACCACACACTCTAGCTAAATAGATAGGGCTTAGCCCAAAAAGCAAATAAATCACTAGATATTCTGCATTCTACTTACTGTAGGGTAGGTCTCATTTTGCTACTTTTACAAATGGCTTTTAGTAAGTTTCAAAGCATGCTTGGTTTATTGTAGTCATTTTGAAACATTAGCACTTTAAGAAGGGTTTGGCTGCTTTTTAAATGAGAAGAGTCAAATAGAGACTTGCCAAGAGAGATTCTGAGAAGATGAATTAGATTTAAAGAAATAGAAGAAAAGGTAGCAAAGATGACTGAAGAATTCATCTGTAAGCAAAACAAACGGGTCACAAATGAATATATACATTATGTTACCATTTTTAAAAAGCTCAAAACTAAGCAAAACCAATTTACGTTGTTTAGGAGTACAGAGTAAGTGGGTTATAAATATAAAGAAAAGTAAGAAAATAATCACCACAAAAATCAGAATAGTGAATTCTCCTAAGGGGAGGGAGAGGGTTCTGACTGAGGAGAATATAAGACGGACTTTTGGGATGCTGGTAGTATTCTATTTCTTGACCTGGGTGGTGTTTACACAGAGATTTACCTTTTAATTCTTTCTTTCTTAAGTTATATATTAAAATATATATGCACATTGTGTATATATTCTTTATATATACGTATGATAAAAATGCTTTGTAACAAGAGGGTCTGTGAATAATGAAGACAAAACTTTGGCCCTTAAATGCTATTCTGACTAAACACTAGCATGGGAGTGTTAAGTAGGAAATTAGTACCCTTTTCAGCATCTTTTATTGTATTTAATGACAAAATACTTGAGTGGGAGCCAAGTTATTGATGGTGGTGAGGGAAGCAGAAGTAATGGTAGGGCTGAGTACAGACACAACGGTTGAGAAACAGTTCAGAGAAAATCTAGGCTGAAGATTTGGCTAGAAGTAAAAGGACAAAGTAAAGATGCAATTCATCAAATCTCATTTGGAAGGACAGCTGAAGATAAGCCCTATCCAGATGGCAGAACATAAAGGACCACTTAAAAGGAAGGGTCAATACTGTTTGATTAAAAAGAAATTATTTGATTACAAGTTTGGAGAAGTAGATAATAATTAGTATTTAATTTATTATTTGCTTTAATGGATTATTATGCTTAAGGAATTATTTGTTACTTTAATAAAGCAAACTTCTGAGGTTATCAAGATTAAATTAAATAACTATATTTTGGCCGGGCACAGTGGCTTACGCCTGTAATCTCAGCATTTTGGGAAGCCGACTCGGGTGGATCACTTGAGATCAGGAGTTCAAGGCTAGCCTGGCCAACGTGGTAAAAACCCTGTCTCTACAAAAATACAAAAATTAGCCAGGCATGATGGCAGGTGCCTGAGGTGGGAGAATCACTTAAACACAGAAGGCGGAGGTTGCAGTGAGTTGAGATTGTGCCACACTGCACTCCAGCCTGGGCGACAGAGCAAGACTCCGTCACAAAACAAACAAACAAACAAACAAACTGTATTTTATTTAATAAATTTCCGGAGAATAAGTTGTGTTAAAATTTTGGCTATTTCTTGTTTTTCTCATCAGAAGACAGTCATATTCTTGGAACTGCAACTGATTCTAGGGGGACAGTCTTGCACCCCTTAACCAAAAATACTGACTTGACATGATTGCCACTAGAAATCTGTCAGTCCCTTTCTCTGAATAGTTGTCTGTTCATCTGTTTATCTGTCTATCTACCATCCATCCATCCAGTATTTATCAAATTCCTACTAAAGTCAGACATTACACCAGTTTTTGGGAATATAATGATGAACAAGATAGACATAGCCCCTGTCCTCATGACATTGTTATTTAGGGAAAGAGACATATATAAAGCAAAAAATTGTATATGTAGTTGTTTTATTACAACAATTTTATTACAACAATTACGTATATGTGATAAATGCAACAAAATACAAGCATAAGATGTTATGAAATCATAAAGTATTGATTTAGGGGTGGAGTGCTGAACAGTAAAGGGTATCTTGCAGAAGTAATACTTAAGGTAAAACTTGTAGGATGAACAGACAAGGATGGAGATGTAATGTGCAGTTTTCTAGGTTGGGGGAATAGCATATATATAAGGTTCTGAGGCAGGAAAGAGCTTAGCATACAGTGGAAATGCACAAAGCTTAACTTCAAGCTCTTAACTTTCTTATACTACTTTAATAGGTGAGTAAGTTGAGATAAATACCACTGAATTGAATAAAGCCTAGGATTCTGGAACTGGCTTCTCAGCAATGACTATTTGCCTCTACTGCAGATATCATTTATTTATAGAAAAATCACTGAAATCAAACTTATTTTACAAGTAATAACTATGTGTAGAGAACATGTAGAGTTCAAACTTTATTTTATTTTAGTTTTTTGTAGAGATAGGGTCATGCTATGTTGCCCAAGCTGGTCTTGAACTCCTGACCTCAAGGGAGCCTCCCACCTTAGCCTTGCAAAATGCTAGGATTACAAGCATGAGTCACTGTGCCAGGCCTAGAGTCCAACCTTTCCTACTTTGATCTATCTAAACAACCTTCTTTAAGTACTTACAAAATAAACTGCTCCAAAACTTCCATGTCCAATTTCATGCAAACCAATAAAAAGTTCCTCAGGATCATCTTTGTAGAACAGATCGGCAAGCTCTGGGTCCTTAAGCACTCCTTTACGCATGATGCCAGTAGAGCAGGCACTCTGCTTTTTGATATCCTAGTTAGCTTTATTTCTCATTGACTATTTTTTTTTTTTTTGGTAAATGTTCAGTACCTGTAGAAAAATAGGGTTTGCCATTAAATTATTTCTAACACATTTTATTTGGTGGCAGTACAAATACATATAAATATTAAAAAGGCTCTTGGTCTCACAATTCAATAACAAAAGGACAAAAAACCCAAATAAAGAACAGATATAGGATCTGAATTGCCATTTCTCCAAAAAGATATGCAAATGACCATTAGCATATGAAAAGATCCTGAATATCATTACTTATTAGAGAAATGAAAATTAAAACCACAGGGAGATACCATTGCATGCTCACTAGGATAGTGATAGTCAAAAAGTAAGATAAGTGTTCGTGAAAATGTGGAGAAATCAGAGCCCTCTAACACTGGTGGTGGCTGTGCCATTTTAGAAAACAGCCCTACAGTTCATCAAAAACTTAAGTACCGAGTTACCATTTTACACAGTTTTCACTCCTAAACACACATATACACCCAAGAGAAATGAAAACATATGTTCACACAAAAACTTGTGCACAAATGTTCATAGCACCATTATTCATAATAACCAGAAGGTGGAAAAAACCCAAATGTCCATCAACTGGTGAAAGAATAAACAAAATGTGGTATCTCCATATAATGGAATATTATTCAGCAATAAAAAGGAATGAAGTATGGGTACAGGCTGCAACATAAATGAACCTTGTAAAAATTATGCCAAATGAAAGACGCCAGTCACCAAAGACCACATATTGTAAGATTCCGTATATATATACACATATATATATGTGTGTGTGCATATATATGTGTGAAATTTCCAGAATAGGCAAATCTATAAAGACAGAAGGTAGATTATTGGTTACTTAGAGATGGGGGGTTTGGAGGGTGGTAGCTAAAAGGTACAGGCTTTCTTTTCAGGGCAATGAAAATGTCCTAAAATTGACTGTGGTGATGACTGCATAACTGTGACTATACTAAAAACCATTCAATTGTACATTTCAAGCGAGTGAAGGATATAGAATATAAATTATATCATAGAGATGTCACAAAAATTCATGTTGGTGTAATTAACGTTGAAATAATAACAGTTGGTATTTATTAATCGATACTATGTGTCAGGTAGCACTAAAACCACAGATATTATTTCCTTTAACCCCTACAATAGCTTCATAATATAATGACTTTATCTATTATCTTAATTTTAGAGAACAAACTAAGACTTTCATAGACTAAACTATTTCCCCATGGTCAGAAAGCCAGTATTTGTCAGGACTGCAATTAAAACTCAGATCTAACAGCAAAGCCCATACTCTTGACATGTGGTATATTCATATAGAAATACAGGCAATTAAACAATTCTTTATTGACTACTAGAAGAAATTACTACCATTTGGAGGCTAGGCATAATCTCTATGTAAAGAGGCAAATTATTCTGTTGCTACATAAAACATTCTGAAATCAAAGTTTCTGTTAATAAAAGGACAACATTTTGACATGCTCACATATTGATCTGCCATTAGTTACATACATTTATTTGGTGTAGATTCTTTTTTATTTTTTGAAAAATATAGAAATGTTAACATTCATCTATATTTTCATTTTAAATAACCTCTGCCCTCATAACCAGATAATCATTGATTTATGCCAACATTTAAATTTATCACAGGGTAGTTTGTGTTTCTTCCTTGACCGACTAGATAACCAAGATAGAAATTTGGTTATTGGCCAATAAAACTATTTTTCAAAACATGGGCCAATGGGTCTCATGCTAGGAGAAGAGAAAAAGAAAGTAGACAATTAAAGAAGTGGCTGGGAACAATGCCTCATGCTTGTAATCCCAGCCCTTTTGGTGGCTGAGGCAGGCAGCAGATCACCTGATGTCAGGCGTTTGAGACCAGCCTGGCCATTATGGTGAAACCCCATCTCCACTAAAAATACAAAAATTAGTCAGGCATAGTGGCAGGTGCCTGTAATTCCAGTTACTCAGAAGGCTCAGGCAGGAGAATTACTTGAACCTGGTTGCAGTGAGCTAAGATGGCCCCATTGGACTCCAGCCTGAGTGACAGAGTAAGACTGTCTCAAAAAAAACAAAAACCAAAAAAAACCTGATAGTGCTAAGAGGTATTTTTTTTCTTGAGACATAGTAGCCATAGGTGACAACATACATTACTTCATGGAGTTAGTCTAGTTAGTTCACTAGTATACACAGCTCATCAACCTAACGATCCATCTACTTACCCAGCTCATTCTTTCATTCAGCAAATATTTGTTGAATGCTCACTATTTGCCAGACCCTATACTGGGTTTTGGAGATAAAATGGGATGTGGTCCCTATCCTTAGAGGACTTAGAAGTCAAATGGACTTATAGACATTAAATTATAATGGCACAAATGATAAAATGTTATAACTGATTGGATTGGCCGGGCGCAGTGGCTCACGCCTGTAATCCTAGCACTTTGGGAGGCTGAGGTGGGTGGATCATCTGAGGTCAGGAGCTCAAGACCAGCCTGGCCATCAGGGTGAAACCCCATCTTTAAAAAAAAAAAAAAAAACAGAATCTGATTGGATTATGAGGGGAAAACAAATATTTTTTAATATAAGGATATTATGGGGTGACCCAGTCTATTTTTGACTTGGACATGAAAAAGGATGCCTTTCTAGGGAGAGTAAAACCAGTTCATTCAATATGAATTGTATGGGAGAGCTGGAAGGAGAAAACATGAAGCTGTTGTTGAGTCAAGGAAAATTACAAAAGGCCCTTTAAACCATATTAAGAAGTTTAGACTTTATCCTGAGGGGAATCACTGAAGGTTTATACAGAAAAAAGTATCCCCCCGCCAACAATGCACCTGTAATCCTACGCAGTCATCCTGCCAATCCATGGATGCCAATAATCAAGCATGAAGTTACTACATCAATACTACTGGGAATGTAAATTAAATCCAGCTATTTGTCAATCAGGTAAATGAAAGCACAAAATAGGAGCTCAAAAGTGTCCTGTTTTTATTGCTTATGTCTGAGAACAACAAAAAAAGAAACAATGGATTAAATCAAAGACATACACCTTTTTGGACACAATGCATACAAGGCAAATGATAAGACTGTCTTTAAGAAAACCAAAAAGACCTATGAACTGAACTTATGATCATTAAAATCTTTTCAATCACCAAAATACATTATAAACTTTTGAATATTTTGGCTTTCATGCGAATAAGGCTAAGTGCTATGAATTTGGGGGGAAAAACACAGATTATAGACTAAAATCATTTTATGAAGAAATGTAAAGTATAAAATGTAAAGTGTAAAAATGAGACCATTAAAAACTTCTAGAATAAATTGCAAATGAAAATTTAATTACTTAGCAAGATACCAGAAGCAAAAGCCATAAACTAGTATCAATAAGTTTGACTATATATAATTAATAACTTTTTTTTTTTTTGAGACAGAGTTTCGCTCTTGTTACCCAGGCTGGAGTGCAATGATGCCATCTCGGCTTACTGCAACCTCTGCCTCCTGGGTTCAGGCAATTCTCCTGCCTCAGCCTCCTGAGTAGCTGGGATTACAGGCACGCGCCACCATGCCCAGCTAATTTTTTGTATTTTTAGTAGAGACAGGGTTTCACCGTGTTGACCAGGATGGTCTCGATCTCTTGACCTCATGATCCACCCACCTCGGCCTCCCAAAGTGCTGGGATTACAGGCATGAGCCACTGCGCCTGGCCAATAACTTCTTTACCTTAAACATGTAATGAAGGGACTTATGAAGCCAAAATGGAGTAACAGGGGCTGTATTTATTATCTACCACCAGGAACAATTAAAACACTGGACAGGCTGGGTGCGATGGCTCACGTCTGTAATCCCAACACTCTGGAAGGCCAAGGTGAATGGATCATGAGGTCAGGAGATCAAGACCATCCTGGCCAGCACAGTGAAATCCTGTCTCTATTAAAATAGAAAAAATTAGCCAGGTGTGGTGGGGCGTGCTTGTAATCCCAGCTACTCAGGAGGCTGAGGCAGGGGAATCACTTGAACTTGGGAGGTGGAGGTTGCAGCGAAGCAAGATTCCCCCACTATACTCCAGCCTGGCAACAGAGCAAGACTCTGTCTCAAAACAAACAAACAAACAAATAACACTGGACAAGGCTCGGTAGAGTGATTCATGCCTGTAATCCTAGCACTTTGGAAGGCCAAGGTGGGCGAGTGGCTTGAGCCCAGGAGTTCGAGACCAGCCTGGGCAACAGGTTGTATCTCTACAAAAGATAGAACAATTTAGCTGGGCATGGTGGTATACACCTGTAGACCCAGCTACTCGGGAAGCTGAGGTGGATGGATCACCTTAGCCTGGAGGTCATGGTTGCAGTGAGCCAAAAATCTACTGCACTCTGGATAAAACACTGGATAATGCTGGATAAAACATATAAATGATGGTAATTGAAGACAATGCATATCTGGCAAAGAAAGACAATGATCCTTAACAGAAGACAAGCAAATGATGTAAGCCGTTAATTGAGCTTAACACCCTGGGAGAATTTCTAGGCCATGGTGCAGACAGGGGAAATCCAGTTAGAGCCTGTGAACTCCCTGAGTTGAGGAGACAAAGATGACAGCCCTGGTTGACCAGGGCAGGTAGAGTTGGCAGGACAGAGTGCCAAATAGAATAGAGCAGCAAAGAAACAGGATATGGAGATTGGTAAAGGGTTCCCCTTAGGTCTTCAGCTGAGCCCCGATTAGTGCATGCATATGAGAAAACTGCCTTAGAACAGGGGAAAAAACGATCTGAAAGGAATAGAGACTACAGATAGTACTTGTTCCCCCTAGCCAGGACAGGAAATCTCATAATTCACAGGGCATTCTGGAGGCTACTCAGAAGAGTCTTGTCTTCATAGCAGGGACCCTAAATGCTGGTCTGTGATGCCTAACAAATTTTATTTTATTTTTTATTTGTGAGACAGGGTCTTGCTCTGTTGCCTAGGCTGGAGTGCAAGGGTACAACCATGGCTCATTGCAGCCTCAACCTCCTGGGCTCATGATCATCCTGCCTCTGCCTCTCAAAGTACTGGGGTTACAGGTGTAACCAATTGTGCCTGTCTCTAACAAATTTTAAAAGCAAGATCTAAAGGATGAAATTATTTCCAAGTAACTTAACTGCATGCCAGAACAAAGTCCAAAAATACTTAAAGGAATATAAAAATATCCAGTATCTAAAAACGTAAACAGCAAGACTCCATCTCAAAACAAACAAACAAAAAACTAACATTCCATAAAAAATTACCAGGCATGCAGAAAAGCAGGCAAATATGATTCATAATGAGGAGAAAAATAATTGAAACCAAACCATAATTGACATAGATGATCTATATTACAATTAGTGATCAAGGACATTAAACATTTATTATGGTTGTATTCCACATATGGAAAAGTTTAGAGAAAATATTGAACATGTAAAGCAGAGACAGACAAAACATAAACAAATTCAAACTAAACCTTTATTTTATGTATGTATGTATGTATGTACTTATTCTGAGATCAAGTGAGATGGAGTCTCGTTCTCTCACCCAGCCTGGAATGCAGTGGTGAAATCTCAGCTCACTGCAACCTCTGCCTCCCAGGTTCAAGCAATTCTCCTGCCTCAGCCTCCCGAGTAGCTGGAATTACAGGCATGCGCCACCACATCCAGCTAATTTTTGCATGTTTAGTAGAGACAGGGTTTCACCATGTTGGCCAGGCTGGTGACAAACTCCTGACCTAAAGTGATCCACCCACCTCGACCTCCCAAAGTGCTGGGATTTCAACTGTGGGCCACTACACCTAGCCCTCAAATTGAACCTTTAGAGGTGAAAGCTACAATGTCTGAAATTAAAAAATACTCTGCATGTGATGCATAGCAGAGGAGACTTTGCCAAAAAAGGGACGATTGAACTTGAAGATACAGCAACAGAAGCTATCCAAAATAAAATAGAAAAAAGACTAACAAAACAAAAACCAAACCCCCAACCCAGAGTATCATGAGCTGTGGAACATCTTCGAGTGGCCTACTGTATGTCTAAGTGGAGTACCTGAAGGAGAGGAAAGATATTAGGACAGAAAAAAATATTTGAGGAAGTAATAGTGGAAAAAATTACAAATTTGATGAAAAGTATAAACCCACAGATCCAAGGAGGTCTATGAACCCCAAGCACAAGAAACATGAAGAAAATTATACCTCAAAACTTGTGATGACGATAAAGTAAATAAATAAATCGCTCAAAACTCGTGATAAAGAGAAAATCATACAAGTATCTAGAGAAAAAAGATACGTTAAATATAGAATTAGGAACGAGGCAAGTATGTTTACTCTTAACACTTCCATTTAACATTGTGCTGGGGCTAGGTGTGATGTCTCATGTCTGTAAAATGCTTTGGGAGGCCAAGGCAGGAGGATGACTTGAAACCAGCAGTTTGAGACCAGCCTGGCCAATACAGCACGATCCTCTCTCTTTACAAAACCAAACCAAACCAAACCAAACCAGAACATGTGCCAGATACTGTGCAGGTGCAGTAAACAAGAAAAAAAGAAACAAAAAAGCATCAAGACTGAAAAGGAAGTAAGACTATTGTGAAACAACGTAATCATCTGTTAAAAAAATTAAATGGGTTCTATAAAAAGCTATTAGAATTTATTAGTTTATTAAAAAGCATAGAATATGAGATCAATAGATAAAATTATATATATATATATATATATATATATATTTTTTTTTTTTTTTTTGAGACAGAGTCTCATTCTGTCCTCTGTTACCTGGGCTGGAGTGCAGTGGCATGATCTTGGCTCACTGCAACTTCTGCCTCCCGGGTTCTAGCAATTCTCGTGCCTCAGCCACCTGAGTAGATGGGATTACAGGCATGCACCAGCATGTCTGGCTAATTTTTGCATTTTCAGTAGAGATGGGGTTTTGCCACCTTGACCAGGCTGGTGTCAAACTCCTGGCTTCAAGTGACCCACCCACCTTAGCCTCCCAAAGTGCTGAGATTACAGGTGTGAGCCACTGCACCTGGCCTAAAATGATTATGTTTCTATATGTGAATACATGGAAATCAAATTTTAAAAATATCATAGTAGTATAAAAAATGTGAAATAGGGCCAGGCGCAGTGGCTCACACCTATAATCCCAGCACTTTGGGAGGCTTAGGTGGGTGGTTCACTTGAGGTCAGGAATTCAAGACCAGCCTGGCCAACATGGTGAAAACCTGTCTCTACTAAAAATACAAAAATTAGCCAGGTGTGGTGTCCTGTGCCTGAAATCCCAGATACTCAGGAGGCTGAGGCAGGAGAATTGCTTGAAACCGGGAGGTGGAGGTTGCAGTGAGCTGAGATTGTGCCGCTGCACTCCAGCCTGGGTGACAGAGGCACATCTCAAAAA